ACATAAGTTAAGTTAGGTACTGTATATTATGCCAACTTTCCTGAATATAAAGTTGTTTTCTTGCATTTTTTTGCATACCTGGTCAACAAAAAGTTGCCAAGAAAAAAATAGATCACACATTCTAATATTTCGTTGGAACATATTTAGCTTTGGTTACAGCACACRTTCACTGTAGCATTGTTTAGATACGCTTCTAAAAATGTCACAAGATTTATTTCCATCCAGTTTTGCATTAATTTTTACCAAGATGTTGCATTGATGATGGTAGAGTCTGACGAAGCCTTCTCCAGCACATCCCAAAGATTCTCAATGGGGTTMAGTTCTGGACTCTGTGGAGCCAATCCATGTGTGAAAATGATGTCTCATGCTCCCTTTATTTCTTTATTGTAATTATTTCTATCAATAACATGTTTTTTTTTCTTTTATCTCTTTTCCAGAAGTAGATGCACCTGGACCAGTTCTTCTGCGTTTACCTGTGTCTCTTTCCTGTCTTCCAAACCCAGCCGGTCGAGGCAGATGGCCGCCTGTCCTGAGCCTGGTTCTGCTGGAGGTTTCTTCCTGATTAGCAGGGAGTTTTTCCTCTCCACCATTTGCTCAGGATGGGAGACCGTGATGAAGTGATTCAACACAAGCTGGCTTCTTCTTTAGATTGTTCTTTTTTCATGTACTGTGCCCTGAGACAACGTATGTTGTGACTTGGCGCTATATAAATAAACTGAAYTGAATTGAACTGGAGGGCCTCGCCATCTTGGGTTTGAACTACCACTGTGTGTCAGACGAGCTGATAATGGTCCTCTGYCAAAGTTATGGAGGAGACAGAAGGAACTCTGGCAGAAATGAAAACACCCTTCAGACCCTTTCACTAGCTWTGTTTACATGCSCAAAATTCTTTGATYGKATTGAAATTTATTCRTATTAAATAATCAGAATGTATCGTTTACATGGACACAACCCGATCATGACGAGTGTTTACATGCACCAGGCTTTTATTCAGAACAGAAGAACTGCACAGTTGCTCCCCCAGCCAAAAAAAAAGAAAAAAGAAAGAAAAGAGTTTTACTTTTGTCATGAACATAAATAAACAGCTTCTGAGCACTCAGAATGGACCTGCGACAGGTTTTAATAATGGTGGAGACGCCACTCCCTGGTTAAACATTTTATTTTACACTTGGCACACATCAGAGCGCCTTTCATGTCATGTCATTTTAGTTCACTTCAGGCTGAAACAAAGTTGTAGCCGTTTGTGTCAAACTATGGAAATACACAATCTCATGTCATACTGTCTTGCTCAAAGTATGTGTTGTGAATGACTCTCAGCTACCGCACCAACTTTCAACTAAATCTCTGTAAAATAGTTGGGTTTGTAACTATTTTGGTGCTTGCTAATGTTTAATAGCCATCTTGGCTTCACTCTAAAGCTTAGTCAGTTGCAGATGTGCRTCTAATGACCCCTTTCTGAATGTTTATTTAAAACCAATCTAGACAGACACAAGCAAAAACATTATTTCCCTTTTGCTCTCTGTGGCGGTTGATACTGTTGCTTGTGAAAACACATCTCAGCTGTCGAGCCTGATATTAAGACTTTTGTTCATCTTCTTTCGGAGTGTGTTCCACCTGTTCCCATCACAGACCACATCATCTGCAAACATAATAGACAACTGGGATTCCTGCCAACTCAAATCTAAGACCCATAATAATAAATTAAAATGGAAATACTGAATAAAGTTTTAGCTTCACTTAATGACCTTTAAACACAGAGCCAGTGAAACATTTACAGCCTTACACCAGGTTCTGCATCAGATTCTGTCAGTAATGATAAATAAGCGGTCAGATTAATAAAGACTTAAGAGTGAATTGGGTCCGCAGGCCACCAGTTGTTGATCTCTGCAGTATATGCAGATTAGGCTGTAACAGTGATGAATTTGCATGCTTCTCCTGTGTCCTCCTGCATA